AGGAATTTGTCTGGTTGCCCCATTAGCGTGGATGCTGCGTAAGGGCCTTTAAAACCCGAAGATAGACGTCGCTCTCTCCTGGATTTTGTAATTCTCCAAGCAGACGTTGGAAGTCTTCCCTGGTGGCCCCCGGTTCAGAGGTCCCTTCTTTTCTTTCCAACACAAGGCTGTCATGAAAAGTCAAGTGGTGCCTGTAGTCCGTTCTAGCGAACGATGCTATTATTTTAGCACATTTCTCCCTAAGATTATTTATAGTATCATCGGGAGATTCTACGGGAACATCAACGTCGTCCACCCAAGTGGATATTGTAGGTTCTGCGCTAGAAATAGAATCCACGCCATCTTGGGTTTTGGGGACTAAACAATAAGTCAATTTATCCCAAAATCTACTGGTCCACCGTGAAGGTGTCTCCGCTGCAGGATTGGCAGCAGGTTGACCTCCTGCAGGATCCATCATATGCAAGCTGGAATCTTCTATCGAAAAAACAAGAAAAACCAGAACGAAAATAGGAACCTCCAAACCAAGAAGCCGATAAAAGAGTACGCGGAACAATTTCAAAAGGAGCGTTGATTTTAGTTTGACCAAAATAAGACTCAAATCCAAGCCGAGTACAAGAGACAAAAAAGAGCATAAGGCACTGAAAGTGAAGAAGACAACGATCGAAATTATTACCATAATGGGATGAAAACGAGGAGATTTATCTTAAGATCTTCCCTTCGCCTTACGGCTCGCACCTGCGGCGCCAGATAAACATTCAATTCAATCCTTCTACTAGTTTTATAGATCCATGCTTTTACCTTCCAAACTCCCCTCTCCCGCAGGTCGAGATTTAGAAACCGATACTTTTAGTCGAGCATCTTCAAACCTTTCCTTAGTCGAATTCATTACCCGAAGGTAATCTCCGGCCCTAGCGACACTTAGAATTTGATTATTCTGGTCTAAGAACATGCGTAGGCGGATTGCGACTATTCTACCTCTCACTGCTTCGCGAGAATAGCCGTCCTCCAGAAGGGCCACCTCTACCTTCTCTACTAAAGATGTAATGTATGAACTCTATGATGTATTCTAAGATGGTTGTTATGTTAGAATACCGGTTAAAAAAGCATTCCGCCCTATCTATGGACTGGTTAGGGTAAGGAAGGAACTTCCCGGCACGCAAGAGTACGTTGAAATCTTCGCTAAGACAATGGAAGGCGACGTATGTACAGTTGACGAGAATGAGGGGTTTTCTAGTATTAGCAAAGGAAAAAATGGGTCTTACCTTATTCTATTTATAGCTCTTATTCCATTTCTCAGCCTCTTTGATTGGTAGGCGGGGTTTTGACTCACTTTCTTCTTAGGAAAGAAGGAAAACATTGATCTTATAATACGTGACCGGTGTACTTACTTCACGTGGGCCTTTTCGATAGAATTTCTTTTATTGGTCGCAGTCCAAATGAAACTACATCCGCAGCTATTGAAGATGGTCTTCTTGGCTTCTGCTTTCCTTTTCGCGTTTCCTTGGCAACATTTCTTTCCTGCTGCTACAGAAGGGCTGGTGCTCTAATACTAATTAGTAAAAGTCTTGGCTTAAGAGCTCTTGTCCGCCTTTTAGGTTGTTGGGCCTTATCCGCCTCTTAGAGGGAATTACTGGAGTAGTAATGTGATCTTTTCCTTATCTCGATCTATCTCCGCTGTCTAAGCTCGTGCAAAGCGTTAACTATCTTCAGTAAGGGTATGGATTTGATCCTAGCACCGAACTCTAAGCGCTAGTTTCACCTTCTTCGGTCTCTTTCAGCTGCGGGCTGGGAATGAGTAAACAGCGGAATAGGTGGAAAACCCATCTCAATAAAGACCAAGGAGTTCTTCGAACCATTGTCTTGACAGATTTGAAAGATTTATTGCCGAAATCTGACGCCAACCTTCGTTGCTAAGCGACTTAGTGGGCTCGCCTTATCTATAAACCCTTGCTTGTTAGAAGTAGCCTACCCGACCCGACCTTACCGCTCCGTGGGGACTAGGCTGGTCACTCCCAATGGAATGAAACTGGCATTAATGTACCGATAGCCCATCTTTTTCGGATGCATTTATTTAAAGCCCTAATCTTTTGAAGAGGTGGACCAGCAAGCTAATCCTTGTAAAAGCAGCACACTACTGTATCGGCTCAGCACCTTTGCACCTTTCGGCATTCATACTTATTTTTTATGTGTATCTGTGCTTATTGTTGTTCCTAGCCTTTAGGCAGTATTATTGTTCGCATCTTCTTCTATTTTAGAATTTCATATTAGAATATGATATTTGAAAGAGGACTAATCAAGCCTTGGTAGTCACGTACTTTAATAGAATTTATTCAAAATCGACCTGGATCAACCCGGAGGGAGTCTTTTCAAGCAAGCTATAGCCCACGAATAGAAGGTGACGCTTTCTCCCCGACTAAAGGAACCTCAGTAGATCTTTTCGTTGGATAGCGCTACAATGTCCTCATGAGCAGTGCTATATCTGATGGATGGTTCATTTCAAAATGATCATTCCGAAAAAAAAAACCTCATTGCATTTATACGGGCAAATAGGACGGTTTTGGGGCTAAGAGCTAAACTACGGGCGTAGGGCCGCTAACGCGGGGAGCTGTCAAGCGAAGAGTCTGACGAGGTGACTTTATACGCGTATCGACGAAACAACCCCAAATACAACATTTGAAAAGTAAGCTTTTCCAGCTTTATGAGATGAAGGATTGAAATCAAAGGAAGGTAGGTGTATTATTAGTAGCTACGAACTGTTTTAGAATAAATGATATAGAACGAAACAGAATCAATGAACGCTCAATTAGTTGCAGTTCTTTCCCTTCGCTGGGTTGCATTGTATTCATTCGTTGCGTTGTTTCTTAGTAGAGTTCATATACTCCATGAGGCTGACTCTCAAAAAGGGGGAAAGAAAATCACAAGAAAGAAGAAATCTCCGGATCTAGAAATTGGCCGCTTCTCCGACCCTTGTAGCGTAGGGATGGGATGGGGCCAAAGAAAGTCCTTACTTGTCGAAGACCAACTACCTATATCGTATCAGTGATCGTCAAACCACAAATGAAATATCAATAGATGAGAGAACCCTATTCACATACATTCATTCCATTTCGCTGCTCGATCCTATCCTCTTCCTATTGGAGCTGTTTGCCCATCAAAGGGTTTCTTCGTTTATCTTGCTGATCTATCAGCCCTCTCCGACCGAAAGAGGGAGGCGGGTTTGTACGAAAGAACTGCACGAAGGAACCGAAAGGTCTACCATGGAATCTACCTAGGTGTCTTGTTGATAGGATTACCGCATGCAGTCTCATCAGTTGAGTCAATCAAGGGAACGGTAGATTGGATAGCCGTAGGTTATTCTAATGCTATTGAGAGTTTTCTGGGCTTGGTAGCCGCGGAAGGGTACGAATACCCGGGAGCCGAAGCTGCGAACTAGGTCGATTGGTAGAGGTTTGACCAACGGCGAGAAGAACTTATTCTAAGAAGAACGGAATCGCGATACTCAAGCTCCTCTCATAGAAGAGCACCAAAAGGAAAGCCGAATGCGAAGGAGTGCGAAGGTCGGGTTTCGTCGGTAACTGACTCCAAGTGACACTCCTTCTATAGCTCTGGACTGATCGAAGCTACTGCAGCGCGTACGGAAGCTTCTCGAAAAGTAAGTATTAAAAACGCACCAATTTAAGGCTTTCATTCCTCTCTTGAACATTAGACCAATTTTCAGATCTTATAGTCAATCCCTCTCTGTTTTGCTTTGGTGCCGAAGGGGTGTTATGGAGCCAATGGGGTGGGGGGTAGGGTAGACGTTGAAGTGCCAAGTGCAGGAGTGCAGCAGCACAGGGCAAGCGTCACATTCCTCGGGTCATGAACGAGGGAAGTATGCAACGAGTGCACGTAAATAACATCCCGAAAGGGCCTCGCTTCCATGAACAGGTGAACGGGGGAAGAGGGTGCCTGTAGGAGAAACAGTTTGGGCATTGTGCCTTTCCTCTGTATTTTTTCTGGGATCGGCCTGGAAGGCCTGGCATTCGCGGCATAGGACGAGTAAAAGAGGATTAGAAGAGGGCGCCTAGTGCATTAGCGCTAGCTATCGTCATGCCTTCCCTCGTGGGGCTAGAGTAACGCTTATATGGCACTTTTACTTTTGTGCTCGTAGTTTGGATGTCGTCGAGCTAAGGTGGAGGGCATCGGTTTAAGAGCGTTGGTTCGAGAGCTCTGTCCTGAAAGCTAGGACCTTCGGGATACACTTTCTTTGTCATGACTATTCCTATAATGATTAGCTACTTTGAAAAGACAGATGCCCACCCACTTGGCTATACCCCTAGTTAATAGTCCACGTGGTGTGCAAGGCTAGTGTAAAAGGATCCTAGTTAAAGGATTGGATTGGTAAGCGAGAGATTAGTATTATTCTTCTCCTTCTCTTCAGGTTTCAAGGTTTCAGGTTGAAATGAGTGGACTGAGAGGAGTAAACTACTACTGCCTTTACCGGTCAGAGGTATTGGTGGGAAGTCTTTTAGCTCAAGCCCTTGGGGGCCTGTGTGATCTGGACCTTTCCCTGATACCCGAGACAGTACCAGAACCTGATAGCAACGTATGAGGCTCAGAAAGTCAACAACCCTTGGGGCCTCAGTAAGAGCAAGCACGGGAGCAAGGAACTCATTAGCTATGAAAAGAAGGTAAATCCGACCTACCAACGATGGTTAGCAACTAGGTCTTTAGCTCCTGGCTCAGTTCGTAGGACCGGGGCATTCACGGGTGTCATCATCAGAATAAACTCTCCTGCGGGCGTACTATTCGTTATCTTTCTGTCATTGGTATTCGGGGTATAGGAACTCCTTGGAAGAGTGGGGTAGTTATAGGGCTAAATAGTATAAATATAGGAACAGCTCTACTGGCAAGTGGACGGCTAAGAAGTCTAGACGTGGGAGCTCCTGTATTGGCAAGAGTATTTATGCGTGGCATAGCTAAGTAAGGGCATTTTGTATCCTCCTGCCCGATAGAGCAAGGGATGCGGGCTCGGCTTCCAGTAGATTAGCTATTGGCTGGCTCAGTTAAATGCTTCGAGGACTGGTTCCCGGATATTTGTCTCCATTACTCCATGTTTAACACATGCGTATCGTGTTGGTGTAGCTGGTTGGACTTAGCCCTAGTTCTTCACAGCGCTCCGAGCTAGTTGTCTAATAACGACATATAACGATCGAAAGACTTGACTGAAAGCTAATGTTTCCTTATATAAAGAAAAATTTCATATGTAAATAAATCTAAATGAATCTCTCAGTCTTTCGCCTTTCCTAAAATCTGTATCAATTATCCAGGCAATCGCTCGACACTAAGAGCGAGGGAGTACGTGTTTCAACATTCGAATTTAGACGAATTCAGCTATATGAAACAGGTGATCAGGTGAGTTTTGCGGCATTTCTAAGCTATGTAAAACGCGGGATCACGCGCGATGATAATTGCCCTCGCTAAAGAACAACTCTTCGAGAAAACCCCAGCTTCTTAGCTCAATACGACTAGACTGGTTAGTGTTATTGATTGACTGAAAGGTATGAAAGGTATCGAATACTTGCTGCTAACCCGCTTTCTTCCTTTGTGTTTGTCAAGGATTGGCTCGTACCTCGGGTATGGAGAATCCGCATGAATGCATCTTCCTTGCCTGGATTCCGAAATCCCATAAGTAAACAAATCCAAGTCCCTTTCTATAGGAAGCAGCAGGGCAAGGTATTGAAGACACCACCGGCAAATTCATAGGAGTTGTTGACCCCCAACTCTTGCTCTCGTTACTGAGCTCCTTTCCTTGATATCGATATGAGGAGATGTTGATTGACTGAAAGCTCTATAAACGGCTGCTAAAGAAATCACATAGGTATAGAATCCTTGCTTTCTAGCTGCTCTTCTTATGACAGGACTGGTACTAGACCAGGTATTGAAGACACCACCGGTAGATTCATACCCCTTGCTTTCTGAAATCACATAGGTAGTTACTGAGCTCCTCTGGTTTCGAAAGGACTAGTACATTATAAGGTATTGGATTGACTGAAAGGTATCGAATACACTGGTAATGGAGCGCACAGGTATTGGTATTCCTCGTTATGATTGGTAATGGATTGCTATTGACTAGCTTGCAGGGGTTTCATACACGGGTATAGATAGGCGAAGAGACGAAGGTAAGGAGATCGAGATGAGCTGTCTCTAATCCAACACATGATCAGGAAGACAGGTCCTTTGATAACACGCGTAAGATCAGAGAAGACGATATGCTCAGATAAAAGGAAAGGGGACAAACTCAAGGTAAGGAGCTTTCTTTGATTCATTCCTTTGTTGTTGACGCCTGGCAGTGGCTGTCGTTGCTTGCTATCAATCGATATGAGGAGTAGTTGACCGTGTATATCATGTCTCTAACTGTCTTAGATGAGTTCCACTTGTTTGATAGTACATGATCAGGAATTCCACACACCACCGGAAGATTCATATGAGTTCCTGACCGTGTAGACGATGAGTTCTTTGCCGAGTTCCTTTCTTTCAATCGATATGATACGGAATACCGCACACCAACGGCTTGTGAATTGATAGCTCGTTTAACCGCTTCGCAAAGAAACTGATCTTTCAAAGCGGAGTTCCTGTCTTTCGATATGATACGTTATTGCCGATACCTATGGAAGAAGAATACCCCGCTAAATGGGTAGTTCCACGCTCTCTTAGCCCTTTCTATTTAGTTGATGACTTCCTTGCTTTGGTTGATATCGATATGCCTAGCTATGGACTCTACCGCAGGAGGAATCAAACCACTGAACTGAAACCCCTGCTTCTTAGCTCAATACGACTAGACTGGTTAGTGTTTGACCAACGGAAGAGAAAGACCGGCTTTTGCTGGTTTCTTTGGAACTCGACAACTCTGGTTTAACAGGATTTCTTTTGAACTCAACAATGAAAGGACTTGAGCTCGTCTGAAAGGGCAACACCGCCTCTGGATTTGATCCCTTGATCGCATATATGCGAAACGTGAGTTTAGGACCTGCCGCTTGTGATTGTACCTTTGCGATTGGCAAGGGGCCTTATCTTATTTGTATAAAAATTGATACCGCTAGACTGTCGACTTCAGGCAAGTTATCGACCCGAGGTATCTCGTTTGAACGCTAGCTTTACCATATTGATATTTCCGATCCCGAAGTCAGACCGGTGGAAGACCAGATCCGAAGCCTTCTTCCAAGGACCTACGACTTATACCGCTACCGGAAAGGTAACATCTATTCCCAAACCCAGCTAAGCCAGAACCACGCCAAGAATGGATTGGATCCCTTTTCTATCGATACAATATGAGCTTCACACCTGCGTATCTTTATGACTTGCTTTTCTATGACCTGTACTAGACCAGCTATTGACTACTCCTATGGAGAAATCATAACTGTGGTTTATTACCGAATACCAGGATTAAACCCTTTATATAATATGTATTTCCGGAGCTGACAGGATAACCAGAACCACGCGAAGACTAGCAGGCTTGCCAGTAAAGGACCGAGCTACCTAGTTGAAGCCCTTGCCAGCCTGCATTCGTACTCCTAACCAGCATTACCACGTTTCCCAACCTGACAGGATCGTGAAGAGCTGCTCCCTTCTCGAAGACCGACAGGCAGACCAGCGTCCTTGCCATCTCCGATCTCTACTTTGTACCCTTGCTTTACCATATTTACGATTACCAACCTGAGAGCCAGACCCAGGATTGAAAAGTACTCCTCTAGAGTTGAGGAAGAAATGAAATACCAGAAGAGAAGCGAAGCAAGCCGGAACTGGGTCAATAATGAAATATGAGAAGGGCAGTGAAAAGATCTTGATCGAGGAAGGCTAGTCTGAAGGTAGTTCCGATAGTACTGGTTTTTGACCTTCTTCCCCCTGTAATTGTAAAGGTTTTCGATATATCTTGTCTAGTAAGGCAGGCAGGTACCTAAGCTGTACAGCTAAGCCGGATAGGTCGATACGTCTGCACGCATCCGTGCTGGGACTCTGGCTATGGAGGAATCCTGTGCCGCTGAAAGTGCTCGATTTGCACCCAGGAAACTGTGCAGTACGTCACGTGTGCGAAACCGCGTAAAGTAAAGTGTGTCCTAAAGGGGGCTTTTTACGCGAATCTCGAAATTGCGTAAGAGAAGTTGTTCTTTCCTTTGCGAGGATTAATAAGGGTAGCTCCTTCCGTACTAACAAGGGAAATCGAGTACTAATCACACGAAAGGACTTTACCAACTCAATACTTAGAAGAGAAGAGTAATGCCTGATAGAAGATTGATTTCAGACAAGTTCCCTGAAGAAAAGACAAGAAGGGATTAACTACCAGTACCGTTGCCTGATCGATATCGTTATGGTTGGGGACTAGCTACGAATAGAACACAGCTCCTTTTACGGGGGTTCCACCTCCGATCGATCCGTTCCTGCACTGCCTGAGAGTTAGAAAGCAAGGACCTGTAAGTCCATCTTTCCGTTCTTAGTGTCGTTATTATACGAGGCTACGGATTGATTCGACTCCACACGGGACGGGGCCAAGGCCTTCATGTATGGGTGACAGATCGGCCATAGGAGTACTCCGGGATATACACCAGGCAGCTAAGAAAGACTGTCAAGCGAGGAAAGAATGTAATCGAAGCGAAGATAAGCGTATAAGCTCACCCGAGTTCGAAGGGCAACAGCCCGTATGGATGGAGCGACAGGAAAACGACTGACCGACCGAAGCGGACAGAGCGCACTGAACCCGACAGAGCGAGCTTGTTTTTTCTTTTCACAACTAGGTGATAAACCCTGATACGAAGCTACTGTTACGAAGAGAAGTTCAGTCAGGAAAATAGAACAAAGCGAAGAGAAGGAAGCAACGCGAAGACAGAACGAGTTTTCTTTTCACAACTAGAGTTTGGATGGCTAGCTACACGAGCTAACGATACGAACTAACGAAGCGAAGAGATCGAGACCGAACCGAAGGGAAGGGAAGAGTTAAACGACTAGAGTTGTTTAGCTACACCGGACACGAAGCTACTGATACGAGTACGGTCACGGCTCGACAAGTCCGTTCCCTTATCGGTCGCGCTTGACCTAAGGCAAGGAACTTAACTGCAAATAGCGTATAAGAGAGGGACCGGCGTCTTCCATACAACAGATTCCTTCTTTGGAAAGGGCGAAAAACAGAACAAGACCAAGACTTACGGAGTGACCTGTTTTAATAAAAGAGATATACATAGCTCGAGTCGCAACGGAGCATCCCATCCTTGAGAGCAAGGCCCAAAAAACGTCAATCTTTTCCAGCATGAGACAAAGTAAATAAAAGATCGCAAGCAAGCCAAAAAGGATCTGGAACAAAAAGAAAAACTTTTTCGCAAGAGTATTGGAAGCAAATGGACCGATCAATTTTGTCATATCCCATTTTGAGTTCAGGTCTTTTTTAGAGACTTCAGACCTCGCTTTGGTCCTTCCCCAAGGCAATTCCGAAGCCTTTTGCGGATCTCCGCCGCGTGCTTTTGCGCTAAGTTACTTACGATCTTTCCTCTCTTACGATATTTCTAGTTAGAGGTCAAACAGTCCAAGACGCGCATCCACCGGATAAGCATATAGTTCGTTGTGATCCTCAAGTTAAAGTCGTTTTTCCCTTCGTGGCCCTATCCGCCTAGGGCAGGTCGAATCCCGTGTGTTACGCAAAAAGCCTCTTTATAAGAGGAGAGCAAAGTGAGACTTGACGTTGCCAGGTTATAACATATGCTCGACCATAGGTCAATTGCATCGAACAAAGCGAAGTTCAGTCAAATCCGAGTTGGATCCGCTTGGCTAGGGATTTCGACCTCTAGGAAAGGCAAGGCAAAATGCCAATTCTTACGATAATCCTTTATCAAAAGTGGGCATAACAAGCCCTGCCAACCGTTGACTGGCATCTCAATAGACTCTATCGAGTAACCCAAAAGAAGAATTACAGCAGCAAAAGATAAGCTAGCTACTGGAATGAATTACCTAACAGAGAGATTACATATTTGGACAGAAACTACATCGCTTGACTCACTTATTTATCTAATATTCCTCACTCCTTTCCAACTAACTCCAACGGTTGTCTTCAGCTAATGCGTAACACCTCCCTCCCCTCTACTAACTCCTTGTCCCCAAGGAGGTTGGATTTCAGGAAATTGCTTCATGATATAGATTGCATCCTCCCAAGTGGCTTCTTCCTTCGACATATTCACCCATTGGACAAGCCATTGAACCACTGCCGAGTTCTTTCTCTTTATCATCCTTTTCTCCAAAATAGCAGATGGGTATATTTTGATCACTCCTTCGTCGGTGAGGATGGGAACAGTAACTTCCTCTGGAATAACATCTCCTCTGTATGCCTTCAGCAGGGACACATGAAAAAGAGGGTGTAGCTTCGAATCGGGTGGCAGCTTTAGTCGATAGGCTACTTTGCCAATGCGAGATATGATTTTTAACGGTCCATAAAACTTAGCACTCAATTACATGGATCCTCCTGATTGCAATCGATTGCTGTCGATAAGGCTGCAATTTCAGAAAGACCCAATCGCCAACATTGAATTCCTTGTCCTCTCTATTTTGATCCGCATAAAACTTCATGCGTGCTTGTGCCTTTACCAAATGGTCCTTAAGTTCTTGTAGCATAACTTGTCTATTCCTCAGGAACTCCTCCCCACTTTGATCCTGGCCAGGGGCAAAATCTCCCATGGGAATAGAAATGGGACGATACCCATACAAAGCTTCGAATGGTGTGCATTTCAGGGAAGAATGGAAATTAGTATTATACCAAAACTCCGCCATCCCACCCAATGAATCATTAGGATTCGTTTTCAATAGAATCTGATGCAGTCACGGATTCCATTGTTCCCATAGCTTCTCCGTTAATGGCTAGGCCTGAATTCTGCAAAGGAGTCCCCCAGAATGGTACAAAGAAAGAAAAGTCATTTGGTAGTTCTCCATTGACTTCTCTCTTTACCGATTTGCATATCTTCCTAAGTGGGTATGCACCTAAAGAGGGACAAGAATAGGGGTCTACTTTTATCCGATGGGATAGGTGGTCCCGGGTGTCCCTCTCGTTCAGTGATCCCCGGAGCGGGGCGTGGTCAAGGGATTTGGAGGTAGAGGAGATTGGGCATCCACTCCAAACTTCGTGGGCACGTAACATGGTTCCGGATGTCCATTCCTTTAGAACTTAACTGGGCAATCCGCCAGAGATAGGGGGAATTCCACCATCGAGTCAACGATGGGCAACATACATAGGGTGCGCAGCGGTTCGGTTCCAGCTTTCCAGCAACTCCCTTTGGATGTAAGGGACGGAGGCTGACTTCAAGATGCTCTACTACTATACTCTTATCAGCCATTTTTCGTGACATCATATCACTATTCGGCAAGTCAATCCCGCTTACTGGCTCAATCTATCTCTCAATAGATTTGCTTGCCACAACGACCGTACAAACGAAGCGAAGTGAAGTCATAGAAAAGTAGGGATCATCGAATCAATAGCAATAAGCCCGGTTTGAAGAGGTTCATATACGGAACGCCGGGAAATAATACCCGGGGCGGGAGATTCATTTAATCGAGATTCAGAAGGTCAATTGCATCTTTCCTCTCCTTGACGTCGAGACTCACTTTGCTCTCCTCTACCGTCAATAGGTTTAGCCAGAGCGTTTATAACACGGCCCAAATAAGCCTCACTCACTGGTATCTGGGCAATTCTTCCTGTTGCTTTTACAGAGCTTCCTTCTTGTATCATCAAACCACCACCCATTAATACAACACCAACATTATTTGATTCCAAATTCAGAGGAATGCCTATTGTACCTTCTTCAAATTCAATCAATTCACCCAACGAACGAAGCGAAGCGCAGTGAAGTCATAAAAAAGGGATTCAGAAAAAGAAAGAGGGAAGACATTAAAATGTTTAACTAAACGAAAGCCTTGTCGATTAAGCTTATAGGCGGGCGGGGGTACTTGCTTACGTGCGTGATTTCGCAATCTTTCTATAACATGATGCGAATGCTATCCTCAACGCAGAAAGGCCAACTACTGCAGACAGGACTTCGGTAAAGGACTGACTGATAAAAGCACACTTAACTGCGGCAGGAAGTACCGATCAGAAAGGAGTAAGGCTGGAAGCGGCCTGACGAGTAGTCAATCCGTGCAAAGGATTATATTTTCAGCACGGACCTTTTGATCATTGCGCACCATTTCACAGCATGGATCGGCGATCTAACGCAATAAAGAAAATAAAGGATTGAACTGAGATTGAGGCCCGTCGGGAAGCTTGGAAAAGGAAAATCCATAAAATAAAAGAAGTGAATTTGGCAGGCGTAAAATAAGTTCTTTAGCGAGGAAGTTTAAAAAGGGGGAGATGAACTGGGCACCCACACACACGGAGTGGGTGGTAGGGCGGCGTGATCTATGGGAGGTGAGTTTGGTTCAAAATCAATAGGAAAGGGAGAATCCTCTGATTCCGTTGTGACTGGATGATTTGGTCCCGAACCGGGATTTGTTCTCCCGCTACTAATGGTAATGGACGAGACCAAGGTTTGGTTTTCAATCAAAGGAAAATCCCTCATCTCTGAGATCTTTGGATTTTTCAAAACTCTATGGACATGCAGAAGAGAAATGCTATCCCCACTCGGACCAAGACAGAACTTTGACTTGTTCAAATAACAATTAAGGTGAAGCAGGGTCAGGAACGACGAATCTCTTTATGATAAACAGATCCTTTTTGCAAGTTCGTTATTACGGCGGGTAGTTCCTACAAAGGATCGGACTAATGACGTATCCAATACTTGAATTCTCGATGTAGATGCTACATAGTTGGTTCTCATCCTTCAGAGACTACGAGTAGGAGCATCCGTCGACAAAAGGATCACCCTAAGATGATCATTTCATGGCTATTGAGAACGAATTCAATCAGATGGTCCTATTTCTCAATCTTTCTGACTTGCTCCTATGGAACCAAGGTCGAAAAGATTGAAAAAATCAGTCATTCACAACCACTGATGAAGGATTCCTCGAAAAGTTAAGGATTAGTAATCTTTTTTAGAAATCGAATGGATTCGGTCTTATACATACGCTAGGAAGGGAAGGTAATCAAAAAAGAAAGAAGATGCGGGTGTACAGGTCTAAGTCCGTCATGAGAAAGGCGGTGTTCGCTAACCACCTAACCATCATCAGATCTGCTTTCCAGGGCAGGTGAGGGCGGTAAGCATTGATCCTAATCATGTGAAGCCCACGGAGCGGTATTAACTAAAGCTCCTTCTCGACCTTTCCTTCACTTCGCTTCTAAAGATGCAATTGACCAAGGTTTATGACTGAACTTCGCTTCGAAAAGTTTGTTCCTTTCAGTCGAGCATATTTCAACCTGTACTTGTTCCGCCCCCCCTATTGATTATCTTTCAGTCTTGGAAACCTCAACTCACATCTATGCACAGCCGCAAGGACCCGTCATGCTTGCGCTGGAATAGCACTGGTGCTCCAGTGGGTGCCTTTGGTTGAAGGATCAATACTAGAACGAAGGTCGGAAATAGGTCCCTGCGAGAAGCCAAAGGGTTGGTCCATGTACACTTCCTCTTGTAGATCCCCATTTAGGAAAGCCGTCTTCACATCCATAGGCTACGGAAAGCTTCGAAAGAGGATTGGCAACCCCCAACCTAAGCACCCCTTCTCCCCTATGCAAAATCCCCTTTCTTAAGAATCTTAAGAATATAGCCTTGCCGCGAGAGACCTTGCTCTATTACCAACTAAGAAATTCAATTCCACTCATGTCTTTAGTAGCTTATTCCTAACTACTAGTAGGCTCCTTTCGCGTCGCTCCTCCACCAACGGGGGATATAATTCCTTAGAGGCCCTACCATGAACAATGGGGACTCCAAGATCTGCTGTCAACGGGATACCACTTTCATTACTCAATTCCGCTGCTAGCTGTCTACTCACGGTCGATGTAATTGAGACGACGCATTGGATTAAAGTGCCAGGGCGGGTTCGAGGTACCTAAAGGCACCCTCGATATATTTAAGATTGACACTACTACATGCTTGGCAACTAAAGCCAGGTTTGGGCGTATTTGCGTAGAGGTGGACTTGGATGGGCTTGGCACCAGGGTGGCTTGCAGCAACCATACCTTCTGACTTTCGGACTTTCTTCTTCCTTGGCTCAGTGAAGTTTTTGGGGGGCTTTATTTCATCATAGTCTTTTCTTGTACCATCCCAACTTTCTTCTCTTTTGAATGAGCGAGAGAGTGCCAGGTGGGGCTACCGAAAAAGGCTATCTGTCGACTTTCTGTCGGAACCTATTTCCTTCAGGAAAGAAAATCGAGTTTTTATAAATCGTGATGGCAGACCATTTGATCGACAAGATCTCTTCCGAACACTTCTACGAGGAAGGGGTTGAAGGAAAGAACATAGCTACAAAAAGTTCGGGTCCGGGATTCTTTCGCCGGGGAGTCGTAAAAGCAGTCAGATGCGAGGAAGACAACGAGGGGGTTAGTTCTAAAGGAGATGATGGCATCAAATTGGGAGATAGCCCACGCAAGAGAAGATAAAAGAGCAAGTGCTTGACCGCTTTGAGTCTCGACGAGACCTAGTTGAATTACATTTCCAAAAGTCTAGCTAACCCCAGGCTATCAAGAAGTATAAGATTAAGTCTCTGCGCGTTGAAATACTGGAGTTCTTCTTTGCGCATAGCCATAGACGAAGAAATTCTATATTGTTGTTACTATGGCTAAGAATTAAGCCTAGATGCAGAGCAGAATTCTGTCTCGGCAAAAGTCAGAAGGTGCAGAGCCGATAATAGAATCTAATCTGTTGTTTAGCTTTCTAGGGCTTCTCGTACCTTTATGACTTCACTTCGCTTCGAAAAGTTTGTATGGGTAAGGTAAAAAAATGTCTTTCAATTTCCGCGGAGACGAGTTTGAGTTTATCAGCACACCCCCCCTCGGTTCTCTCGGAAAAAGTTGGGTAGAAACTGAGAGAAAGATCCCGTTGATTTTCGGGCTGGCCCTTGCCTATGGAAAGAATGGTGTCTCAGAAAGTTTTTGAATGCCTCAACTTCGGATGATGACTAGCTGATCAAAACACCATTGTTGGCACATTTTAACCTAATTAACTGAAGCAGATGCAGGTGACGAAGTAGGCTCGACGCGAGAGGAGAGGTCAATGTAATCGAACGAAGTTCAGTCTTAGATTTGGTGCAATTGACGACTCAGGCTCAGACGAACCGAGAGTCCTGTCGGTACTTAGTCACAGCGAAAGACTTCTACTTGATAGCTATACCTCTGCCCAACAAAAAAGCACTTTTGGATCTCCAAATGCACCACCCACTATCGGATAGACTTATTGCTCAGTTTCGTGGTTCAATTCCACTTCCCTTTTTCATAGCTATTATGGAGGTTCGATGCAATTGACGACTGAAAGGAGAGGAACGAACTCAATTCGAATCTCGAAATCTTTACCCGATCTGGAAATGCTTATCTTATATGGCACCATAGGTCTGAGTTTCGTTTCCTATATGCGCTTTCGTTCCATCCGACTTCAAGAACTTGTAGGGGGCCACCCACCCTTTCCCCTTTACCCTCTCACTCCTGCTGGAATGAAAGGCCACTTTGCCCAAACCACTGGAATACGAATGAGATCTCTAATTACATCATATAATAGTACATGGCTTTTCTTCTCGAACCCACCTCCTCCAAATAAATTGCACCTACATAAATTGCGGAAGTCAAAAAACAACTTGTTGAAATTCGGGGGTACGAACGAAGCGAAGCGAAGTGAAGTTCAGTCAAAGTTTGGTGTAATTGACCTTGAATTGTTATGAACGTAGATGCCAATTTGTGAAAAGGTGAGTCCAGGCGGAAGATCAAAGTGATCACCATAAAAACGAAGTACAAATTCCATTCAACGCTCTCCAGGCGAAAGAAAGCACAACTGCCACACCTAGGAGCAGCCTGTCATTTTGAATAACCAAATAGACAGGGCCCGATTCCCAAAGGAGCATTCCCACTTTTGAGAGCAAGGCCCAAAAAACGTCAAGTGAATCCAGCCCACGAAAAAGGAAATGATGGTAAGCAAGGCCAACAGAGAAGGATGAAAAGCGAGTTATTTCAAATTTTTGACGACTTCTTTAAATAACTCGCTTTCGGTGCCCTTATCATATAACTCATCTTTCAGAGTCCTAAGATAAGATAAGTCCGTACCTTCCTTAAGGACTACCTTTTTCAGGGCAGCTTGCCACGACAGGCGGTGCTTAGAAATTCCGCTATTTTCACCATAGTCCCTCAGACCCCTAACTATTTCATCCCAGCACCCTCCACGCAGAAGCTCCTCCCTGCGTGCATAAGCAGCGGGGGAAATCTCCCCCGAACTAGAAGCCTCCGTTTCTCTTTTTCTAAGAAAATTATTAAATTGAGAAATGGAGGATTCAAGGTCGGCTTTGCTTATTCTTTTATGGGGTGCTAGGGCCGCATCCCCATTATCTTCTTCCTGTATGTCCATAGGTAGGGGGGGCTCATTTAGATCAGGCAACCTGCCCCGGGTACCAGAGCGAAAAGGGTCCATCATCTTAGCTAATTCAGTCTCGGCATTCATGAAGGCCCCCACCATTAAAACTAAGGCAAAAATCAGACTTCCGGGGCAACCCTTGAGTATCGAGTGATATAACGTTCGCCATACCACAGAGAATCCGACCCTCCCCATCAACGTCTGAAAAAAAGCAACGTCTTCTAGAAAACAAAAAGAAAAGAAAAAGAAAATAAGAACTACAGTAACTGGCAAAATCAATGAATAAATCAAATTAAATCTTCCCCTGTTTTCACCACTGAACCAACTTGAATCTGAACGACGATTCAGATCAAGTCTTACCGAAATCGGATTTCCTTTTCGTTTCATCATATGCGCTTTTTCTTTTTCCCCCCTTTTTTTTTCTTCCCGGTCCAATATTTCTTTGTTTCTGCGAAAACTCTTACCCATTTCTTGGGAATCGTCCGCTCATATCACGATGGACGTGTCCGATTATAGCCCGACGCGCTGCTTCAGGCTCGATATGAAAGACGACCAGCTCTACAACTTTGAATACCATATCTTCCGAAACCGAGTTGTGTACCGTCCGGTTTGCAACGCCTACTACATCTGCCTTTACGATATTTATTATATTTCGTACCTTTCGGATATAGCACGCCCCCCCCTTTTTACTATATGAAATCCACACTTTGACACCTGAGATTCCGTAACGAGTAGATACTTCCGCAGGAGCATAATCTATTTTCTGGTTAAAAACATTACGAGATCTTTTGCCCCATACTTTGAGATGCTCCTCCCCGCCGATCAAGGCCATTAAGGTCGTGATAGGCTTTTCTTTAAGCCGCTATCGTTTGGTTCGGATAAATAAAGTCCCTTCGGTCGGTTCGCTCAGGTGGTCTTCCCTTATCTTTTCAGAGTTGTTCTGATTTGAGATGAGAAAGGAGCACCGGCCGAGCGCCACGAATGAATAAGAAATTGACAGCAGAGGGAATCAATGATTTTTATTCGATCGAGTTCTAGCTAGCAAGATGTCGATTACACACCGGAGGTTGGTAAGAACTGAGGTTCGATTACATTGACCTAACCTAAGTCGGCCCACCAGCGAAGCAACTGGTACTTGATCGGGTGGGGGGCGGTTTGGTTTTGTGCAACGCCCTCGCAGCAGGAAGAGGCGGTTGTCATTTGAAAGGAAAGGCCTTTTGTATAGGGCGTTAAGCACCTGCCCACCCTGATGAAAAAGCCCCTTTTCTAAGCTATATCAACAGGCGCGGTTCACCTTAAAGCCTTAAAGACGGATAAGGGGAGGAGCTGTTATCTATGTAATTACGTTGTTGGCCTCAATTACATCGATCCAACGAACGAAGCGAAGCGCAGTGAAGTCATAGAAGCTTCACTCGCAGCCTCGCCTTGAGGAGGAATGCACGGATAACAATAGGCGAAGGTCAATTACATCGAACGAAGTGAAGGAAAAGAGAAGGAATTCCCTAGGAGGAGAGACCATTACATTTCTGTCTTCCACGGGCAGAGAAGAATGGCAAAAAACAATTCTAAGGATATTCACGACGCGTTTAGCAGAATTTGATCAGAACGGGAAAGTGACGCCTGAAAGCAGTAAACGGATGTGTATTATCAAGAAAGATGAATGGGCCTTTACTGAAGGAAGATTGTTGATCCCTTCGCCCACCTTTACATATGCGATTGTTCGATCGACCTGGCTGCCCAGTTACGAAATATATAGCTATCAAAAAAGCTAGAAATAGAACTCAACTCGCGTTGCTCAGTCTCTTTTTATGACTTCACTTCGCTTCTAAATTACATCTATCCTCGTCCCTCCTGCCGGATATAAATCCAATTGGTGGGGTAGGGGCGTTAGAGCATGTGTTCTAAATAGGATCTCCATACATAGTAACTCAACTCAATTACATCGACCCTCAGTTCGGATTGGTTCTTCATGCTTCACTTATCACCCGAAGTATAGATAGGGTGAACGCGAAAGCGCGAAAGAGAGGGGTACGAACGTCAATTGAATCGAGCCTTCACTTCGCTTCGAAAAGTTCGTTGAGGTGTAATTGACGCATGAGGCCACATCTTCGTCAATCTATTGTACAAGACCGCATGGGAAAGAGCAGCATCCATTGGTTTGACAACCACAACATTTTTCCAATCCTTGGCCAACATCTCGTCCACAAGTTGGGGACTACCCCTTTCTCTTTCGGAGTGTAGGACTGGCTTGTCAACTCGTTCAACCGGTCATTCCTTGCTGGCTCGTATGACGCTCCGGAACACACTGGTTGGTACGTCTTCCTTGTAGGAATGTTTTCCGTTGCAGATCGTACTATCACGTATATAGTGGTCGAAATCACCTACAACCCTGTAGGCCATAAGAAGCACGTTGGATAAACCAACGCAAATATCTTTCCACAAGTCTTCCCTCATTTGTAGAGCGCTACCTAAAGGGACCCAAAAACTTCTATTCTATGACTGAACTTCGCTTCGAAAAGTTCGTTGGGGAGAGGTAATTGACCTGCCCTATCAACTACGCCTACACTCGCAGGAAGGAAACTGGCTGACCTCCACTCTCAAAAGAAAGCCCCTTAACTCAAATACCACTCCTCCCTCAGGTTCAAAGAAATGAGACCTGACCCCATACCTGCCACCTCTGCTATACCCAAACCATACCGCAACCCGAACTAACCTCAGCCGGAAAGGTTTTTTGTAAAGCTCGCACGACGAAAGAGCTTGTAAAGCGGAATAGCCCTTCTTCACCGATATTGCTGGATCGGTAGCTAAACCCGTTGATCGCTACTTATACTTACTTAGTTAGATGGGTAACAAGCTCGGCTTGGTGTGCTGTGCTCGTATGGATGACCTTTCTTCTGCGCATCGCTTTCAGGCCAATCCGTCTATAAAGAGTTGTTATTATTATGAAAAAGCCAACTTCTACTCTTAGAGAAGTTTTGAATCATTGGTTCTCGGGACTTTTCAAATAGTCATTTTTTCCCCAAATCCACATGGATTTATCCAATGAATCCATCTGACATACTAGATCAGATTTCAATCCGTTCTTAGCCCCCATGATGCTGACTTTTTAGGGCGTCTCGTACTCTAAATCCGCAAATGCCCTACCTTCCTCGCCTTGATGACATGCCCCAATAACTTATCGGGTGACAAAAGTAACTGGTGCTTTCCTTTCCCATTTACAAGAATCATCCTATAAGAAAGCACTCGACGAAGTTGACTTCACTTCGCTTCGCTTCGTTTGTTGGGTCGATGTAATTGAGAAGAGGTTGGTACAGAGGCGGCATAGTCAGAGATTCTTTCAAAGAGGCTCAATCACCGTCTTCGATCACTATATTCTCGCGATAGCGAAGGTTTAACAACGAAGTTACGGCTTTAGGCTTTCGCTCTTCGCCTAAAGTCTTATTGTTTTGTTCTCGAACAACGAGAATTCATTACGGGTGGGAGTCAAGCCCGGCCCGGGCAAGCAAGATTATGGAACAGATCTGACCTTCTTCAAAAAGGTCTAATGGAACAAAATCTCGATCTCAATAAGGAATTGGAATCTGGAAGGGCCGGCGAGGTCACTTTCTTATCCTCACACCACTAGTTCCACTATCAGCTTGCTTCTCCTAATGCCAACACCAATCTTCAGGTCGTTTACGCGCTTAACTTGCATTGGCAACGTCGGCCTATCTATATCCAACGTGAGAGACCAATTGCCTTAGTTAGAAGGAAGGCGTTCTCGAGACAGAGCTTGACTATAACGAATCCGAAATCCCAGCTATTACCAGGTGACCCATGTTCTACTCTTTCTGACAACTGCTCAGCTTCCTAGGTGCCGTGTGAAGCTGCTACCCGGAAAGACCAATCAATGGTTGACTCTGAAAAGACATAAATGGATCTTGTAAAGGAAGAACGCTGCTATTCTCTAAAAAGAACCTTCCTTCTATTCCTTACGTCAAGACTCTTCCTAGTTCGTGCTACTTTAGAATACATCTACACCGAAGTCTCTATTGAATTTCATTGTCCTTCCTGGCCATGAAAGAATACCCCAATATGCCTTCAAGATAAGAAGTAAAACAATCAAGGTAGGGATTGTTGGCTTGGAACTCTCGCAGTCTCCCCTCATACACCGGGAAGGTCTAACTAAGCTAATCGCTTAGCCTGAGGTTTTAGTTGCAGTGAATGGAGATTGATTCTTTAAGGTAAAAGGTCTTCTTTATCAGAAGAGGAGAGCAAAGTGAGTCTCTAAAAACTTTTCGAAGCAGCAAGAAAACGGATGCGCGTTAGCGCAACGGCTTTCGCGCTAGTTGCTCAATCCGTTGCTTGTTCAGTGAAGTCAAAAGTATTGGCGAAGCGAAGTGAAGGAAAAGAGAGGGTAGTAGGGAGCCCGAGTGGAGCCTAAGCCTATCCCTTTCTTTGCATTCTTAATCGTAGCTACCTGCCTTATAGTTCCTGTAGCTAGAGCTGATGCCCGCCATTCGACCTGCGAGCGAGAATGGGATAAGGGCTTAATCCTTTCCACGGCTGTAAGCCACGACAAGACCCCAGACCATGAGGAATCCTATGACGAATGGAATACAGCGGGGGTCTGAACTACCTTTACTACTGTCTTATCTACTTGATTCTTTCTTTTCCTCTTTCTCATTAGCAGCAAGAGCTCAATCAGTAACTCCACCACCACTCGAGGATTGGAATTAGCGTAGAGTGATCACAGAAACTTTCTTCCGTCCTTGAACCAATAAATATAGGCGCGGTATCCTTAACCCGAGAGATAAGGAACTAAAGAGCAAGGGAAGCTCCATTGAACTTAGAATAGCTGACGCTCAAAGACTATTCATTCAGCTGCCTCGGGTTAGCTTTCCGCGTAAACTTTCATCTCTGAGGAAGACAAGAAGCAGGAAGCTTTCTACGCGCATCTGTCCTCGAATAATAATGCTCTTTCATTCGTTCCTCGCTTTGAGAAATCGATGATTATTTCTGCCTACAAGGTCAATTACCAAGACAGCCAGCTTCTCAATTGCATCGTACTTTTGTTTACTCAGTTTAGTGTTCAGTGAGTGAACCATAGCGCTTACCATGAAGAAAGAAAGATATCGCTTCTCTGGGAGACCTTATGTTGATAGGCCGGGGAAGAGCGTATGACTGGCCTTACACTTACAGAGAGCTTACCTTTAGTCTGCAACAGGAGAGGTTTGAAATATCTAAGAAGGCACTGAGACTGCAATAACAGGAGCAACTGGCTGGGAGCTTCTAATGGCTTGCATAAGGTCAAATCAAAGCACTTTACTAAACTAAGCTTGAAGAGATTTTAGCACTTGATTGACACTCGATGTAACGCTTCTTCGGGGCTTAACAAGGGCTGCAAGCTTGATCCCAAAAAGTCCCACTCAAAATAAAGGGAAAGCATAAAGAAAGCAATTGCCTTCCCTGGTGCGTGCCTGCTTGAGGCTGATTCGTATGCAGCGGCATCCGTATTTGCGCATGTGGTTAATTTTCAAGTCACCAAAGCATTCTTTTTAACCGGGCTAAGGACCAATAGGGGCACCTTCTCTTAAAGCTCTTAAAGCCGGTAATACTTTCTCGCGCTTCCTTCACCTCGAGAACTCAATTACATCGACCCAACGAACGAAGCGAAGCGAAGTGAAGTCAAAAACGTCAAGGAGAGGGAAGGTGTAATTGACCTAAGCGACGTTTTTTTGTACCGCTCCGTGGGTAGGTCTAGATATTTTAAGTTGAGTGAAAGAGGAATTGGGGGTCAAGGATTCAAGCTAAATGAAATGAGAATCCAAGACCTAGTTCACGCTTGAAAGAAATAGCTAGTCTTCTTCCCACTGACCGCTACTAATAAGATAAGACGAAGCAATAAGTCTAGTTGGCTTAAGTCGACCAAAAGTCGTTGCTTGCCTATCTCAGTATGAAATTGGAACAGTATCCGATTTCAAAGGCGAAGCCGAAGAGGTCCCATTCTAATGAGAATCAAAGGCAATCGGGAATGGGTTGGTTTTCATATCCCCTTTTTTGTTCTCGTCTAAGCAGTCGGCCCAGTCTCCTGTCTCTTACTTTAGACCAGGGACAGGAAGAGAGCATTACGAATTGCCGATTTATTTAGTTAGGAGTTTTTCTCCGATAGAAAAGGAAATGGCAGCAGTTGATTAAGTAGAGTCGGTCGCTGTTCTTGCTAGTGGCCAAGCCAGGAAAGCACGGGGGAAACTCAATAACTCTTTCTTTAGAACCGAAATGAGCAATAGTCGGATCTAGCTAGCTTTAGTGGTCTTGTTGCTGTTACCGAGGATGAGAAACCTAAACTCCTAAACTAAAGAGATTAGCTCCTAACTCGTTGACTTGAGGATGTTACTGGACTTTTTATCTTTAGTTCACTAGGCATGGGACCTCAGCCAATTATCAGCTCCCCCACCATATCACCAATAAACCTGTGCGACCCATCTGGAACCCACGGGCAATTTCTCAGCCTACCTATTATATTAGCCCAGAATTGGTCCAAGGGTAAGGTCAATTACATCGAGCCTTTGCTTCACCTATGGGCCTTGCCTTCTCTTGACGTACCACAGGGCAGGGGTAGCGAAGCTAAGAAGGCTAGAAGCCGGAAGCGAAGGAGGTATATACGCTCACTAGACCGGAAGATTCTTCCACTTCAACCAATTCGGATACAAAAAGCGGATTAAGCCAATGAAGGAAGATTTCAAAATTCTCATTCAAATCCTTTATTTAGTCGGTTATATTGCTAACAGCGTCTAGTCCCAGAGCAACTATTTACTCAACGCATTCAGTTAGCTTTCTAGCAGCGGTAATACCATTTCAAGAGCGTCAAGGCTTAGAGCTTTTTCTTTCCTTTCAAGGAGGCATTCGATGCCATCATCATTGACTTATGCCTCCTCAACCTATCTTACGTAGGTCTTTGCCGAGAAGTCAGATATTATTTACGGGATATAAAGTCCGTATAATAAGATCGCCCGAGAGGGGGTTTTTCCACTAAATGCTAAATCGGATACTGTCTCCGAAGAAAAATAACTAGGCTTTTTCGATTCACCAGGCGCGGAAGCTAAATGTTGAAGATAAGTAATAGATGCCGCTGAAGGGTCTGTCTCCCGATGGGATGCTGTCCTTCTAAAGCTCAAGATACCCGAAGCTTTTGGTGTTCGTAGATAGCACCTGACAGAGTTTAGTCAATTAGAACGGATTCAAAAGTTAGCGAGTACAGGAAAGAGAGAACAGCTAGTCAAATTACAACCTTCTTCAACTGCTGAGTCAACCCTAAAAGTGGATCTGGCATCAAGCCTAAGGGTCAAGGGTTTGGAGAGATCAAATACTACTTATAGAAATAGAAAGTACAAAAGCCCACTACGCGGTTCGATTACATTGACGGGAACAAACTTTTCGAAGCAGCAAGAAAACGGATGCGCGTTAGCGCAACGGCTTTCGCGCTAGTTGCTCAATCCGTTGCTTGTTCAGTGAAGTCAAAAGTATTGGCGAAGTTCAGTCATAGAGGTTTTTTGGGGAAGAAGCGGCATTCATCTTAGCTTCACTCTTCTTCAGACTCCCTTCTCTCGCTTGACAGAAGATGGAAAGCCCATTCAAGGACTACGTTAACTCACTCTTTGAATCCAATCCCTCCTAATTTTCTCAATAGTAATTGATCAAATAGGGTGATCACAAGATCACTAATCAACCTATTGTATGCGCCGAGCCATTTCGCCTAACGGCTGTACAAAGAACAGACTCTTCGACTTAGAAGTATCAGCTTGTGAGCTTCGCTCTTATGTTCGCCGCGTAGCATACTGACCACCTCTCCATAACACCACACACTCCTTCGAGTGGTTTCTCCGTGAAAGTCTTCCGGTTCTCTTCAGCTGTTTCATTTGACTTTCCCTGCTTTTTGAAATCAAGTAAACAACCCAATACGTTAGCTATTTTTATACTCTATGAGATAAAGCCCTATTTATTAGAATGTTCTATCACCACTCATGGAATAGGCTTTCTTACCAAAAACTATAGGAAGAGACGAAGTCAAAAAGAGAATAGAATGAGTATGATTAAATAGAAGCTTTAGTATGAGGAGTATCGAAGTGAACGTCTGAAACTAGCCCTTCCTTTGGGGCGCTTAGAGTTTGAGAATAGAGGCTTATGCCGCGAAATCAAATCTTAGTCGTCTTTTGACTATCAAATTCAATTGCGTAGAAGGGGACGAAGGGATTAGGAGAAGTAATTGCCATCGTTAAGTAAGGTTGGTAGAGGTTTTCCGATAGGCTGGCTCCTATACCAGGCTTTGATCTCAGAGGAGGCATGAATAGCTTTTTAATCAATCATAAGCTGTAGCTACGCAGCGTAACCGTGTGATGGCCCCATAAACGAACTGTAGTAAAGAGATCCTACGACCATTTTCGATCGAGGCCAGATGCCAGGGTATCAGATACTTAGAGAAGCAAGCTACTCTTCCGCGAGTCCATCTTTCCTATGAAGACCTTCTTTCTGTTACGAATATTATTAGTTTGAATTTCTCAGGCGACTCGAGGATTTATAGCTGATTATTGCAGCGCAGCGGCGAAGAAGCGGTAATATTGTAGTAGCTACGCGACGAATAGGCTTTATAGGTTTTTCAATAGGCGAAGGAGGTTAAAAGCATGAAAGCAGAGCTAGCTCCTAACCCTCGGAAGGTCTATTATACATTTGAAGAGTAGAGGCGGACTAGACATCCTCTCTCAAGGAAAGGGAGACACATTCTATTATAGGAATTTCTTTTTCAACCGACGAGATCCGAAGAAGAGTGCGTGCCTACCCAAGCTATCTATCTCTTTGTAAAGCTCTCTACGTAATGGCTCAGTCAATAAGGGAGCCCTAGCAGCACTCGATATATATTAATTTACAGAATCAAGTAACTAGTGTAGTAGTTCTGAAATCAGACCTTAGTTCATCAAAGCTAAAATGCGCCGAGAGAAAAACCGAAAACCGTAGAAGAGAGTTGGAGTCAGTAGAGAGATGAACAAGAGCTAGCAGAGAGAGGTTTGAAGAGCTCGACCAAGCCTTGAACCTAAGCCTCGCTACGAAGTCACTCGACTAAAAGGAGAGGACGTTAAGGAAGAAGTTCAGTTAGATCTGCTGGTCTGCTCGGAGCGTAACCATACTTGGAGGTTTCATACCCAGACGGGAATGAGAAGGTCGGAGTTAAGCATACGCTATCAGGAAAGCCCTAAGACCCTTCAACAGCTGTAAAAGACAATTCAAGGCCTTCGTTAGCACAGGAAGAACTCCTTACAGATAGTAACTGCAGGAACAAGAACTCATAGAAGGAAGTAGCTACTCCTAGTCTTGGCTTTCAGACCGCTAACTCATCCTACTTTTACCCTTATCTGAAAGGTTCTATCAAGACCTTACTAAGACTCCTACCCGCGAGTCAGTACACGGATAGGAGCTAGCAAGTATCCGAAGAGGGATTAACCCTACAAACTTTTCGAAGCAGCAAGAAAACGGATGCGCGTTAGCGCAACGGCTTTCGCGCTAGTTGCTCAATCCGTTGCTTGTTCAGTTCAGTCATAGAAAGCGTTGGATATTTAGGTAAATTAGATGTAAATCGATTGATAGGCTACTCCCTTGCCTAATTAAGAGAGAGTCATACTGGTGCTTGCCTGAGAGTCGCCTCTTTCAAAGATTCAGTATCGATCCGGGTAAGACATCTTCACCTAGTGAACTTCTGCTTGAGCACTTTCCCCTTGCTTGAGAGGCACTTGATGCTATTACGGAGTCTCTCTCTCTAGACGAGACGATGCCTAAGAGAAAGTAACTGCCTAGTCCAGGACTTCTTCGGTCTCACTCGCCTCACACTTAATTCTTCTTCGGTGGAGGTAAGATTGCTTTATTGCTTCTTCCTCTTCCACGGATTCAATTACAGTAATTGTGAATGAGATAATAAGGCGCGATGATAATTGCCCTCAGCCCATTCTGCGTAGGCGGTGCTACTCTTCTGGCCCGCTCCCCGCGCTTTCCGCAGAGATCGCAGGCTGAACAAGTCCATTTCGGTCCAACTAGGTGGGCCGCGTCAAAGTATATCGTAAGTATAAATTAACTTCTCTACCCGCTCGAGCATTCGGATACTTGATCTGCACAATCAAAAAAGAGGACTACCTTTTTCTTTCTCATAGGAAGACCGTCTTATGCAATCCTCACCTCTTCGGTACTGCTTGCCTTAATGTAATGCGCGATTTGTCTTACATCTATCACGGCTTACCGCTACCATGAATACCCCCACCACGCTGACTTGCCTTTTCTTGCTTACCTCCTATTAGCTAGAAGTCATCCCCGTCCTGCAGCTTTACCCCCCATGCAAGAGTGCATCAGGTTCATTTTTGTCGGGAGTGATGTGCCCTTTTGACTGGAGCCATGGAACTCTTTTTCTCTTTTTTCAAGGTTCGATGTAATTGACGAAGTCAAGTACAGCAAAGATAGGGGAATTGGCCGTAGCCAGAACTATGTGCATCAAGGGAATGTCTCTCGCACGCTGGTATGCCCCAAAGACGGTGTTGTGGTCCTTTGATCACATCTCCGAGGGGAAAGAGAAGACTTATGGCAAGAATAGGAGGAGGAAGGTCGGGCAACATAGGGCCCAATCCTTGACTCAAACCATTCGAGATCAAGGTTGGTAAATACCTTCTTCATCCATCCAAGAAAAGGATAACGGATCCTTGGTGCCCATAGGACTCCAGGAGACCACTGCTCATACAAACTTACATTCCTTCATTTTTTATGACTGAACTGCGCTTCGAAAAGTTCCGGAGACCCTTATGTGGCTTGTCGCCAAAGAACGTATACTTACTAATGTTGAGCGTATGCGGCGGCACTTATCGGGTCACTACTGCTTGTCGCCAAACCAGGTCGCCGACCTGGAACTTTCGAGAATGCACCTTATTTTGTGTTTTGTGCGCTTCGCATTCCTCTCTTCCCGTTAGGCTAGGCTCGGTCACTGGCCAGGTTGTCAGCGAGACTTCAAGACTCGGTCCTTATGTCCGTCTTTCGATCAAGCCAATTCCTTCTTCCCTTCCTTTTTTTCTTGGTAGGCAACGGGACCCTTCTCCCTGATCAGTAAGAGAAAGACGTAATGAACCGTAAAGGACGTTTTTGAATCCCTTGCTTGATTCAGTCATGACATGGAGCTTCGGCCAAGTAAGCAGGTGCCTTGCTCCGCATTCAACTCTATCGTTCCATAGAGGATCCTGACACCCGGGGGAAGAAAGTACGCGAACGACCCTCATCATCTCCATCTGTCCAAACTATGGTGTCACCGGACCTCATACAGCAACTCCTCCTCTCTTCGAAAAGGCATGTCAGAAATAAATGGCATATCACTTACCTATTTGGTTTAGCTACACAGTACACAGATCGGGCCCCCCGCTTTCAGCTCGTTGGTTTATAAGAAAAGAAAGAGCTCTTACTGAAAGAAAGGACCTAAAGGATTGGCTTTCCCACCCTCTGTCTAGCTAGTCCGGTTAGCTCTTTCTAAAACTCCGTGCTTTAGCATATAAGAATAAATCGGGAATCCGACCACTCTAGCAATCTACGGCGAGTTCTCTAGCTACTTGTCTGAAAGACCCGGAGTTCTATAGCTACACCTATATCTTCTCGGGTAGCACTACTTGATCCCCTACTATATGTCCCATTAATAGATTGGCCCCATATAGTGTTCTCTAGCAACACTTGTCTGAAAGACCGGCCTTTCGATCTGGCTTGACCCGTGCTACCGAGTTAAGGACTCCCCGTTGTTCGACCTGGACTTCTCGTAGTTCTATGGCCTGACCTAGGTCGATTCCTCGTTGTTCACTCTTGCGACATTTCTCGCGCTGTCCGTTGTTCTGGAGTTCGCGTTTACCCGTAGTTCGCTGGTACTTGTCTTCCGGATGTAGAGTCGGAGGTTCCACTAGAACTACGGTACATGTACGGATGGGTAAATCGAGAAAAGCCAGCGGAATGATCGGAAAGGCTAGTCCGAGCGGGGGAAGTGGTCTACGTGCAGGATTGGTCGGAGGTTCCTACCCGAGAAGACTGGGCATTCACTCATGAGACTGGGGCTATGCACGCCACCGAAAGACTGGTGTAGCTAGAGAACTATTTTTCTCCCTATTTCCGCCCCCTAGAGAACTCTGGTTTCGCTTTGGTTGGCTTTATCAACTAGTAGATTTTCTCTTACTTGACCTACTTGGTTAGAGTCACGCTTTCATACGGAAAAAGTCATTGGTTCAAATCCAATCTCAATAGGAAAGATAGGAAAGCCCGAATGCCACCAAAGAATAAAGTTCAAGTTCAATACCTGGTAAGGTGCACCGCTTTCAAAGGGAGGGCTACGGAGAACAACAAACATCAGAAGTAGAAGTATTGGGCGAATCCTACCCTCGAATTAAACTAATCACACGTAGCTTGTATTGGCCAAATCACCCGGTGGCCGAGATTACGGTATTGAATTAACCCTGAGTTAACAGATCACACGGAGCTTGAGTTAGAGTTTAAAGAGCTAATCCCTAAGCTAAGACAAAGTAGTAAAGGAAAGGGAAAGAGTTCCCAACGGTCCTGGCTTTCAAAGGATAAGCGTAAACAGATCCGCGAACCTACGCCTTTCCACTTGTCAGTACCAAAACCGATGCTTGACGATACAGATCTCGGGAAAGAGTCTCCCTAAGGGTCGTCCTTACTTTCTGACTATCAGGGATAGGTCTATCAGGGATTGCCAGGGCTGCTACTAATAAGGTAGCTATAGGTCCTTCCCTTAGTCCTGTTTACTTCGAGAGGAAGGGGGACTTCCAGGCTAGGAGTTCTTTTCCTCGCGCGTAAAGGAATAAAGTAATTAGTTTGTTCGTTTGGTAGGGACAGGGACCTCGGGCCTCTTCCTTCCGCTAATACTATTAGTGAGATTTGCCATACGGAACAAAGTCCCAATCTTGGGGCAGCCTGTATCGGCCTAAACGAGGGAGATCGAACCGCTTCATTGGACGCTCCTTTTAGACGCCCTTTCCGGTACCCAACCCCTATCCCTCGGCCCCGGGGAAGGGGAAGAGGTACCGTTGCTGCCAAGTGGCTTGTTTGCAGGGAAGAGTATTCCAGCTCAGTTTAAAGCCAGTTAGAGTCTCCACTAAGCGCATTGGGCACCTCCGCAGAAGGTATTCCAAGGTCCTTGGGATCGGTTGAAGCCTTGCCCGGATCCTTTTACTGTCCTAAAACTTGTTGTCCTCCTGAACGACATCTTTGAAGCGCAGAGAGAGCTGCTACACTCTCGTTCCATTGGGGACTTGCTTTAGCCTTTGGTCTATTCATCCCAGTCCTCAGGTTGAAGCTCCTAACCTATAAAACCCATGAGCTTCTTTCGGCCTTTAAATGGGGTATTGTCTGGTGTAAGGTTCGAACGTTTAAACAAGGATTCAACCGCAGAGAATGCTTATAGGCGCAGAGAGTAGGGCCAAGCAGCGGTATTGTTCCCCATACTGGGATTTATAAGGGCAGAGGGACCTCCAAAGGAGTATCCAAGTCGTAAAGCTGCGTCGTAGTTCTAGAAAACATCAAAGAAGCGGGCAAAGGATATTGCATTTCAAGATTTCATGGGCAAGAAAACGAAGCCCCTTAGGGAAATAGTTTCAGACTATCAGGTATAGCCAAGTGGTTTAGGTACATTATAGTTATAGTTCCACATCTGTTTTTGGTACGGAGGTTCGAGTCCTTTTACTATAGTTCAGGTTTAGGTACATTGGGTTGCCGAACTAGCAACAATGGTTAGCTCCTGAGAGGAAGGCGAAGGGGTATTACTAATATACGATATATTAACTGATAACAACTGAAAGAGAGGGAGTGATGCTCACTAAGAGTATCAGGAGTGGGTGGGGGGAGCCTGTGAACAGGTAAGCGATAGTGTTGGCTTAGACTTCCCTTACTCTATGCCGAGTAGTTTCACTACTTCCTATGGTTCCTTGCTTCTTCCTTGGCTTGGAAAGAGCGCTTGTTACGCGTAAACCCTAAACCCTTGCCTTGATGTGAACAGAGATGGGGAAATACAATCCCTTTTGGGCCGCGGTTTCTTCCTTTCATCAATGGAGAGTAAGAGAGTAAAAGGAGAAGGGTAGGAGCGAGAGTGTAAGCATTGTTCCTGAGCCCTATGAAAAGACTAGTTATAAACTCCGAAAGAGTACCCTAGAAGGCGCTTAGACTAAAAGTATCCTTCAGAAGAACCCATTCTTTGGAAGGTCCGCGATAGAGACCATTAGGTGTTTGCCTTTCTTTTAGGACCACTTTTCAGCCAGGAGATTGGACACTTTTCGAAAAATTTTAGCAACTCTTCACGAAGACCTTTTCACCATCCTCTACGGTCTAACGATCCCCTTACTACCAATCTTGCCCCCTTTTACTCGCAAGCCCTCCCCCTCTTACTTGGGGGCTTTCCCCTTCGGTATGATCTTTCCACGCGTATTGGCCGTCTTCTATTGGGGTCTGGGACTCCTTAGCTCTCAATTCCCCCCTCTTACTCGAAAGCGATGCCCTGTACTTTCGCACCCTTCCGTCTTATTTTTCTCCCTTGCCCTTGAACATCAGCAGTGGCTTTGGCCTTCGTCTTCAACAGCTTTCTTTCGACAGGAGCTGGTGAACTTATCTTCGTAGCTCTGTAGCTAGTGAATTTCTCTTCTCATACCAGTTTAAATCATATAGGCTATAACATATAGGTTTATCTTCAATCATTCCAGTTTATCTTGAATACATACAAGTTTATCTTCTTACCATCGTTGCTAAGCGAGGTATCGGTAACATCCCTACTTTCTTTTCTAAACAACCCAGTAAGCGAGAAGACTAGGAGAAGACAGAAGACAGGCGAGCACCCGGAACTATCCAGTAGACAACAGACAGATAGTGAGAACATCGGTATGGGACACGGGGACACGGAGAAGCAGCAGTAGTTAAAAGAGCTAGTCCTGTCAACAAAGGTATATCCTCATCATCAGGACAGAAAAACGAGTGTTTGTCTGAGCTAAAAGGAAAGCCCTATGCAGCAGTTTCTGATTTTCAACCTAACAGGGACAGACAGAGGCATTGACATATCAAAAAAGTTTGTCTCGTTTCCATTTGAGCAGATCAGAGCTGATGACAAGAGAGAGACCCGTAAATTAGGGTGCCCGGGGCATGCGCTCTAACTTTGATAGTTACACGAAAAAGGGTAAAGCCCGACTCAACTTAACGCAAGGTCAATTATATCGAGCCTCTATTAGGGCGTAAAGCATGGAATTCTGCCTAACTAAGTTTGATCGGGCCTTAAAGCCTCTCCTTTTATGGATACCTCGCTTCGCCTGTTTAGGACACAACAAGGCCCCTTTTTGGAATGGTGTGCTTTCATTCCATTTATGGGGATTTCACTTACTTATAAGTAGGGAGAAGCGCTAACAGTCGAGCCTGACGCTTCGCTTCTTTTTCTTTTCTTCACTTTGGCATCATACAAGCTACCCGCGGTTCAATCAGGCTTCGAATACGCAGATGTAGGAGTCTGCCCTTTTGTGTCTTGGAGTGGGCCTAAAGAGAGTATTGCTATCTAAATAAAACACGACAGGAGATCGAGCCACAAACAGGACAAATCGCAGAAGCTGTTCTGTTCTAATCTAAGACACTCGACCAGGAGCTTCTACGCGGATTAGACACCCACCTAGCCTACCTGGTTCCCAGTTCCAAAAGGGGGCTTTGTCTGCTGTCTTGCTCTGAGTAGAGTAGGGTCGGCCAGCATGCTAGGCATTGGAAAAGGAGACCTACTTTCTGTACCATATCCTGTTACCTGCCCCATTATATAGAATCGAAGTGTAATGGCCCTGAGGATAAAATAAAAGAGTAAGAAAGAGTAAGCCAAGCAGTAACTAATCATGCTAGATGTGAAACACTAGGAGTGGAGATCCTTTTGGGGATACAAGGGCCCGACTTAATCTCAAAAGAAAAGAGAGTACTCGCGAACGCCTCCTGTGTGTAAGGCTTAGCTTCCCGATTCACCATTTAACTCCTCTTGCCAGTCCGTCTTTTCCAAGCGCTGTAGCAGAGATCGGCTAAGCCATAGCGCTGGTTCTATTCGAATGCAGGGTCGATGTAATTGAGGATAGTTGGCCTTGGGGCTTTTTATCCTAAATGATATGGAAGGGATCCTCCATCACAAGAAAGAAAGCATGTCGCCTCTGCCTGGCCCTTCTCCCTATTATTCTCCGTGGTCAAGCCGAAAGCTTCTCTCCCCTTTCAGTCGAGGCTCGATGTAATTGACCTCGGGAGTGGACCTCTTTTTTAGAGACCCGATCCCGTTAGTATGGTATATGAGATCGCAAATACTAATTTTGGAATGAAAAAAAAAAAAGAACGGTTTTCACTGAATAATTTCTTGAAAGAACTAGAGGCGCGATGATAATTGCCCTTTAATCCGCATTCTCTATGCGGCGTTTTTGTTCTTTGTACCAATACCTCTTGCCTCTCATTATTCGGATTGAATAATCCCACGTAGGTCGGTCGATCGAGGAAAAATAGTCACTGCTCCTATGTCTCAGCGGTACCCTTGCCCCAGGAACCACTACTAATCAAAGGCCCCTGTGACCTACCGCTTCTCCTTAGAGTTTCCCTTGATGGTGGTGGTGTTTGAAGGAACTCAACATTCTGAGAGAAAGTAGATCGAGTAGCGAGCACTAATAGCAAGGAAGCCATTAGGCTTGACTGAAAACTACTTTCTCGAGATCAGCGCTGGACTAGACGGCTTGTCTGCTCGCATCTAGAAAAAAAAGTATGTATATAGTAGCTAATACAAAGCTAGCTTTCGAGCTTTCTTTCCTTCTTTCAGTAGGACCGGACCCAGAGTGACTTCGGGGGCTGCGCTACGTACCTCTCACCCGATACGATAAAAGATATTATTGAAGCTCGGACTCGGTATGAGAGAATCAGGTCACCGTAGTTCAGTTAAGTTTTTGTCTCCCCCAAATATTCCCTTTTCCACTTTTTCAAATAGTAAGAGAGTGCCCCCTTCCCTCGAATGCTGCATTGGAGGGAGTTCTTCCACTGCCGAGTCCAGTTCAGGTAGCCATTCGTTCATGCTTCGCCTGTAAGGTTCCTGATAGCTGGTTGACAACCAGCGGGGAATTGCTGTATACTAGGATGTCGGATCTAGATAGATCCAAAGCCTAACTACACGGAATAAATCTAATAATCCGGAAATGACCGTACAAACTTTTCGAAGCGAAGTGAAGTCAAGATCTGTACTCGGCCTCATTGGTTTGGGCCTCCAAGCCCAGCTTTACGGCTTTCTCGATCTTAGCGTTTTCTGGTGTTACCAGAACAATACCGATACCAGATCCGCTTTCATTCGACGAGCCATCAACGAACAATCTCCACCCCGAACTCTGAGCAAAGAGGTCTTGGAGGTCGCCCCCAGGTTTGGGATAATCTTCAATTTGTTCGGTTCTCACCTCTGAGGTGAGCTTGTCTGGAGTTCTTTTCTCTACGTTGGCCATAGAGGTCAGCTCGTCATCTATGGAATAGTCGCCCCCAATGTCTGATTCTACAGGGAAATCCGCCAGGAAGCTGGCTAGTGCTTGACCTTTTTTTGCTGTTTGTGGTTCGTATCGAATGTCGAACTCGCCTAGCTGAACTGCCCACTTTCTTTGCTACTCTTCCAGACAGGTCGGTCTTGCCGAGGATGCTCTTTAGCAGATATTCTGTGATCACTCTTATTGCATGCGCCGGTGACGGTACGGAATTCAACCCAAATCGGAGCCTCCTTGCTAAATAAGGGCGAGGTTCAAACAAGTTCCTCAGTGGAAGAGAAGCAGAGCTGCGACACCGATAGCAAATCGCCCAAGAGACGAAAGGGAAGTTGTTCGAGCCTATCTTGAGAAAGCTTCCAAACGAATGAAGAAGTGGGCCGACAAAAAGAGGAGACCAGATCAATTCAAGGTTGGAGACTTAGTGCTTATAAAGATGGATCAACTAAGGATCTTTCGTCGGGTACGTCGAGCGCACAAAGGGCTTCTACTGATACACTTTCGTACCTACGACTAATTCGACGATGCTATATAGAATGATGATTAGTCATTCTTGATTAGAAAGAAAAAATCATACTAGGGGACATCACCCACTCATGGTTTACTAGTATATACTCTTTTGATCAATGAGAGAAAGACCTAGCCTGCCTATCAAAGAAGCAACTACGCCCTAGCGCGAAAAGCCCTTGCGCCTTATAGCTGCCGCTTGACTACACGTAATTAGACTGAAAGCGGAACGAAGAAGCAACAGATGAGAAGGGGCTTGCCTGAGCCTGCCTTGCATACTGACTTCCTGGACTCAATTCTATAATCCAGGACTACGGCTCATCCATAAAAATTCAATCCATTCGCGCCTAACTCGCACTGCTGTCAATTGAAACCAACTGACCAAGCAGATATGAAAAGGAACAAGCAAGGGATGAGCGCCCTAGCGGAAAGAACAAGCAATGGATTGAGCGCTCTGATCGTAGACCCGCTAACTAAAGCCGTGTTCTTGCTGGTGACCGGCTCAATGAGCACCTTTGGGCGATGGTTTGATCCTCTCTGTCACTCTTGAAGCCTGAAAAGCGCCATTTTTTTTTCTAATTGCTATCCAAGCTTACTTTATGGATAAGCTATGACACTGACTTATAAAAGAAAGATAGATCTTGACAACTCAACTATTGCATCAATGGCACTACATTTTGAAAAAGGAACAATTTACACAAAGCATGTATTGAAAATAAAAGTTATTCTATCCTAAGCATGCGAGATCATAAATAACTTTCTCCCGCTACTCAGATCACCACCCATCTCCAACTCACGCGCGAAGGTGGATTGTTAGAGTCAATTCAGGATGTGAAGCAAGCGCTTACGAGTAGTCAAATCTTTACTTATCAATGACCTCCCTTAGGTGGAACGCTCACAGAGGAGAACTATCCAAACTAAGGGCCCGATTCGCTCATGAAAGAGAACTAGAAAGGGGTGGTTGAAAAAGGGAACGAGGTACGAATGGAGAGATAAGTGCTTCTCTCCACCTTCAGTGGCTCGCATTCGCTTTGGGTAAAACCATCTCTCAATGACTTGACTGCACCGTATAAATGGGAGAAATTAATTCTTAGAAAAAGCGGTGTGGTGAATACTTCCTATCCCTTATCCCATCTTAGGTGTGACCAGGGAAGGGGAGAACGGAGCGGACCCGGACGGAAGAATCCACTTTGGTTAAGCCATACTTCTCGAAGCAATCTTTAGATAGCTTTGAAAGGTGGTTCGGCTTCGACCCCGGCCCGGGCGGGGAAACTGTAGTGAAACCTAAACCCGAATGCTCTAACATTCCTCTCCTTTATAGTCGAGATTCTTCTCAACTTTGTCGACCCAACGAACAAAGCGAAGCGAAGTTCAGTCATAGAGGAAAGAAGCGAAGCGAAGTGCTTTTTCTACCTACTAAGACTAAAATTATATCTTAATATTTAGTACTTACAGCGGGATTTTCTTCTTGTAAGAAGCTGAGCGCGTACCAGTCTTTTCACTCTTTGACTGAACTGCGCTTTGCCAATACTTTATCCTTCACTTCGCTTCGCTTCGTTCGTACCCTGCCTGCTTTGCTCGTGTTTGCGTGGAAGTTGACCTTTGTAAGCCCTTGGTTTCTACGGTTAGTATTGGTTACCACGTTCTTCGGGTCGAGCATCTTCAAACCTTGTCTTTTCTCTCTTCTATTTGCAGTTTGAATGGAGTGTTCTTCACTCACGCGATATTGCTGGATCGGGCTAACTTCTTGTAATAGCAATGGGGAAAGTTTTCTCTATTCCCCCACTTATCATCTCTCTGCTTCAAAGAAAAGGCCGAGCCAAAGACGGGAAAAAGGGATGGATTTCTGCTGGTATGAGATCAAAAAGAATTGAATCCTTCATCCAAAATCCATTCGTCTGGAAGAATCCACCTTTCACAGGATTAAGATGACAACCCATCTCTTCTTCGCTCTTTCTCTTCTTTCTTTTGAGATCTTATCACAGTTTTTTTTGGCTAATGGCCCGAATTCTTTCCATAAACTGATGTCATCATTCCGTCTACTTGGCCTAAAAGCGATTTTGGTCACAGAAATGGGAAAGACAAAGGCAAATCTTCAATCTTAGCCCACTTTGGCCAAGCCGAATCGTCGAAGAAAAGAGAGTGCTTATGATTCGACTTTGTTGCTAGACCAGGTCTCCCGGAACAAACTTGTACCAAACAAACGAAGCGAAGCGCAGTGAAGTCATAGAAGTTGAATCTTTCTTTCATTCGCCCTTAGAATCCCCCAGGCTCATCGAAATCCAATAGCAAACCGCCACAACCAAAGGTACCAAATCACAATTGTGAACCTAGTTAAAAACACTGGCGCTGCCGTGGGCGAGGTTGGAGCCAAATCTTGACTTTACTGCGCTTCGCTTCGTTCGTTGGGTCGATGTAATTGAGGTACGTCATTTCACCAACCTGCACTGAAAGGGGTAAGCGGTACTCTCTTTCGAAATAAGCCCCTTTACTAGGTTGGGCAAGCTGGGGGAAGGGAGGAGTCTTTATTTATTACTTGTTAGATTGACAAGAATAGACTGGCCGAATGCATGACGGCTAGAAGAATCACGAGAAGGAAAGTCTTGATAGATTGTTCATAAAGGGCAAAAAAAGAAGCCTAAGACATAGAGCCAAAAGCAGCAAGCACTCAGCAAGTTCAGTGATCATAGGATGATCAAAGCATTAGCTATTCATCATCCCAGTTGTAGCCATTGCACCTTATATCAATATCATACTCAATTTAAGGAGAAAAAACCATCTAAGAATATTGGTTCACCCGATCCTGTGTGATATGATATGCTTTGTGTGCCACGCATTCAATATGATATATCCACTTATCAGAATTACTAGCTTTATTGCATGAGACCACCACTTGGAACCGATTGAGATGGATATTCCTCCCGTTGATGAGGATGAGGAGCGATGATTCGGAAAGGCTTTTTCACCTATCAGATTAACCGCTTGCAAATGGATCGAAATGGAGAGCAGATGAATCGCTTCCGCGGTGCTCGATTTCTAGCCCTTGCTTACTCGGCGATAGAAGGCATAAAAAGGCATAGGATCAATGGTTTTGAGGGTCGATGTAATTGAGCTCGACCAAATTCCTCTCCTTTATAGTCGAGATCTTTAAACCTTTCCTTCACTGAACAAGCAACGGATTGAGCAACTAGCGCGAAAGCCGTTGCGCTAACGCGCATCCGTTTTCTTGCTGCTTCGAAAAGTTTGTTTGGTCGAGACTCACTTCGTTCTCCTCTTTTCCTATCTCTATCTCCTAGGAATCCACAGCTTCAATGTCTTGGGAAAGAAAAGCGCTTGAACTGATGAACTCAACTCAACTCCTAACTGCCTATCGAAGGACTTAATCTCAAAGGGATTGAAGACAGACGGGATACTCAAAAGCAGTATGTACTTTCAAATCCACGTATAAGCTTTTTCTTCATATAGGTCTCTCTAGTCTTTCTGGTTCTTGCTTTCAAAGAGGATTTCTTTCAACATAGATTGGACAAAGCCTTCGGACTAGCTTCTTAGTGAACTGCCTTCTAAAGACTTCTTAGTCGATGAAAGGATGAGATCCATCATTCCAAGTAGTTACGTAGGGAATTCAATCTACGCTCCCTTTCTTTGAAGTTGAAGCTTGGAAGCCTTTGCCAACTCAAAGCATTGGTTTTTGTCAAGGGGTATGTATTTCCATTGCTTTCCCAAGAAGGGCTCTCGTCTTCATACCTTTTAGAAGGAGTTTCGGCTTAGAAGAGTCTGTGGCTCGTTTGATTGATTCGACCCGGCTGTTTCAGCCGTGGCTTAGTGGCTAGTCTCTCTTAACAAGCTGTCGCCGTACCATAGCCCAACCACTTACTACCTCAGCTAGTTAGTCTACTAACTATGAGACCGTGCCCAACAGAAAGACTTGTGGTCTTATATCGTATTATCCCTAAAAGGGGGACTCTAACTAAGAAAGTGGAATACTCATCAGTGGATTCAACTATTCACCCAATGTTGTTTACAATGTTGTATGGGAAACTGTCCTTTACAGTAGACGGGTACTTGTCCCCTCCAGATAGATGCCACGGAGAACTCTTTCTTACTCTTACTACTTATAGGTCAATTACACCTTCACTCTACAAACGAAGCAAAGCGAAGTGAAGGAAAAGAGTGAAGAAGATGGGAACAATAGACCGTGTTCCGCGTCAGCTTTTTAACCGCCTTTCATCTCCATAATCCGTGTTGATTCATCCCCAACAGCAGCAATTACATCGACCCTCATCTGCAGATCTCGATCCCTCCCAGTCGAATACGAAGAGAGGTGGTTCTAGGGGAAGACATTATGGCGGATTTCCACACCAGAATCTTTAAGACTTCTCTTTCCTTTTTGAAAGAGCTCGTTGGGGGTTTTGCTAATCGAAAGCTTTTCTGGAGATTTCCTAGAATTTCAAACTGCCCTGTCAATTGGCTTAGGAATCCCCCGGTCCGTCTCCATGCGTCAATTGGTTCTTTCGCGCGTATTCGCTCATTGACTGTATCGAACAATAAAAGAATCCCTTCAATTGGTATTCGCCGGTTGCAAGTTGCAATAGGAAAACCTTCAACATTTCCTTATTTATTTTGACCTGGAAGTTTGTGAACATGGCTCGATTGGCATAGCTTCCGAGTGCTCGAGGACTTTCTTGTCTGCAGCTTAGTTAGGGATAGGGCTGTGAGCCCCTACCTATAAGTTTATCTTCGATAACACTCATTCACTCACACCTGAACTCGGCAACGGATTTGAGAATTTGAAGCTTTCTGGATGAAAAGCTTTTAGACATAGATATTTAAGGTCTTGCTACACTGCTTCAGGCTTGCTTCGGGTTTAGCCCTTGATTGGCAGAGTGAGCGGGGACTTTGCCTTCTTCGTAGGGGTCTGAGACGGATCCGGGCTAGCCAGGGTGACCTCTAAATAATTAATTGGAAGCTGTTCAAGAGGTTCGACATCTATGGGCGCTCAAAACAGACAATGTTGCCAGAAAACAGACTATCTTTAGAACATAGTTTGGTAAGATAGTATGGTGCACTGCTATGATAGAAAGTGGGATGGGACAGATGACCCCACGGGGGACATCCTAACACCCTAGAATCTGATTAAGAAAGAAGGCTTGGATGACAGATCATTTCAGTATTCCGAAAATCAAGATAGATATTAGTTATATCCCATACCGTTATAACTTCCATTTCATTTGGCTATATCCTAGACTGACTACCTTCTGACTTTCCTTCGTCTACTTTTTCTTCAACTTTGTATTAGCAGTTTACAAGTCCAGCTACTTCAGCCACATCGTAGCAGCCAGCCTCTCTATACAAGTCACAAGCCATCTCCGGACCAAAGCAATAACAATAGGAAGATCATCCCACAAGATCTCGTTCCTGTCTCTCTTTGTCCAACTCGTGTATTAACTA